GGACTTCAACTCCCAGAATTCTGGGAGTTGAAGTCCACAAGTCTTAAAGTTGCCAAGTTTGGGAACCACTGGAGTAGATCAAAGAAGAAGGGGCATTTATGGCAGGCTGGCCAACTGAAGCTGTAGGCTCAGCGCAGCTCCTTCTCTGCCGCCTGCCAACCCCCTTGCCTCTTAGTACCTCCCTGCTACCCCCCTTGCCTCTTAGCGCCCCAAAGTGGGTGGTACTGCCCCCCCTAAGTCATCCTACTGCCCCCCAGGGGGCAGTACCACTCACTTTGGGAACCACTGGTTTATAACATCACTGAATGCCAAAGGAGATGATTTTCCAATATAAACTTTCTTTTTCTAAAATAAACCTTTCTTTTCTAAAACAAACCTTTATTTCTTTGGGAAAAACTCTTTGGGACTCTATTTAATAGTTTTGCAGGCAGCTTTCAACAGAAAACTAAATTCCAGCAATCTAGATAATTGTGCTTGTTCAAAAAAAAATAGTTAAATGTTCTTTTAGTTTTCAGATGCATTTTGGTTTGGAATACTATGCCATTGTTATCATTCAAAGTATCTCTTTCTTTAATATCCTAGTACTATAAAAACATAACTGCATTTTTCCTAATATGTAAGTATCACTAACCATAATTGGTTAGATGGTACTGTGCCAGACTTGAATTGCATGGCGCTCAGGTTCTTTCAAGTCTTTCTTTAGGAAAAAAAAAGGGAGAATGCTTCCAAATGGGCACACAGAGAGAATAATGATTAAATCTCACAATGCAGAACAGGGGTGTCCAACCGTGTCAACTTTAAGACTTCTGGACGTCAACTCCCAGAATTCCCCAGCCAGTCATGTCAGCCAGTTGAAGTCCACAAATCTTAAAGTTGTCAAGGTTGGACACTCCTAATGCAGAATAAGTCATGGAGTTTAAGTATACATACCAATGAGCTCCATCCAAATACCCAGAGAGCCATTAGATGGAAGCAAAGACTTCCTGCCAGCTAGTGACCTTCTGGATTTTTGCAGGTCACATAAGGTGTGCCTGCCAGCAATGCAGAAAGAAAATTACATTTACAGCAGGAGTTGGTGTGGTTTTAACTGGTATTTCCCTCGAACACCAAGTCTTTTTCAAAAGCTGTAACCGATGAAGAACTGTTTCACTTTCCTTGTCTACAAAAAGCATCCTTGCATGTCATTGTCAAAACTTAATTCTTATTCCTAAAAATGTGTAATTGAATTGAATACGTCTTCTTTCCTGATGGCAGGATTTCCAATCCAGAGGCCCCCAAAAATCCCTATCATTTTGAGTCAGCATAGCCAATGTTAAAAACCAGCTTATAGAGTAACAAGCTCAAAGGTTTCTTTAACCTATTAATTACATGGCCTTTTGTTCTTACTTTTCAAACTTCAATGTCTAGAGAAGGCAGCCAATAAATAAGTAGAATCAGTATTGTGTACTGCACTGTTACCTGGCAATCCAAAACTCACTGGAGAATTGTGCAGGTTTAAAATATCTTCTATGACAGGTTCTTTGTCCTTCTCTTTGTCTTTTCTCTTTTTCTTTTTTATCTCATTGGTTGGCCTCAGCAGAGACAGTTCTTCTGATCGTCTAATACCTGCAACACAATTGAAAATATCAACAGGCTGGAAAGACCAGTGGGTTCTATCATCCAAGAGACTCCATCGATTTGACACCATGTTCTTTTGCCCTCCTGGACAGGTTACAAGATGAGCCATGGTTTGGGCCCATACCACGGTTATTGGTCTCTCTGAAAAAATGAGTTTCTCCTGCTTTGAAAGTGAAGATGATGTGTCTCCTCCAGAGGCTATCTTTGGAGCCAATGGCTTTTGAGGACTTCCATCAGTCTCCAACCTTCTCTTTTTTGGGGAAATTTGTTGAAAATGGGGTTGATCTACAACTGAGGAGAACCCTATGTCAGGTTTCCGAAAGATGCCCTAATTAATTCATGAGCCTTCACCCCTTTCCTCACCATAGCAACAATGCAAATGCTTTGTGAGTTGACACCCTAAAGGAAACATATTATGAAAGCCAATTTCAGTTGGGTTTCAGATCAGGATTTAGTACGAGGCAGACTTAGTCAATTGTGTCAGGATGGCGATGGTGCATCCATCCTAGTGCTTCTTGTTCTGTCAATGGCTTTCAGTACAGTTGCCCATGGCATCCTTGTGAGTCGGCACCAAGAGTTGTGGATTGGGAAAACCATTTTAAGGTGGTTCCCTTCTTTCTCCAGGGCCTATTGATGTTAGTTGGGTGGGGGGTTTGCTTCTGGATGCAATTCAAGGTGCTGATTACCCATAAAGCCCTTCATGATATAGGCCTGGTTACTTGAGGGATCTCATATCCCTCATAACATCTGCCCATCTAATTCTATCTTGGAGAATTAGCCCACTCTGGCTTCCTTTGATTAAACAACGTCATCTCTTAGGAACCCAGAAGTGTCCCTTCTCTATAGCAGTGCCTGCCCTCTGAACAAGGTTTTCCCTGAGATCTGGTTGCTTCCCCTCTATGCTGTTGTTTAGAAGAACTGTGAAGACTGGCCTCTTTACTCAGGCCTTTGCAGAGGGAGATTGAGACTGCTCTTTTAATTTTGTGAGCCACCCAGAGTCCTTAAGTGGCACAATAATATTAATAATAATATTGCAGCTTCCTGCAATAACACCAGCGGAATGGCAAAAAACTGCACTACTCCGAACATCGCATATTCTAAGATGATACTTGGTTGATAACCTAGGACACTGGCAGCAACCTGTATCAACCATTAGCACCAGTCAATGGTATTGGCGATACATTTTAAATGTCCAGTTAACTGAGTTCCATGTTTAATGAATAAAAGAGATAACAATAATAATGCTGGGAAAGATTGAGGGCAAAAGAAGAAGGAGATAACAGAGAATGAGGTGACTGGATGGAGTCACCAAAGCTGTAGGTGTGAGCTTAAATGGACTCCAGAGGATTGTAGAGGACAGGAAGGCCTGGAGGAACGTTCTCCATGGGGTTGCGATGGGTCAGACATGACTTCGCAACTAACAGCAAAAATAATAAACTGAAACTACGTGATTATGGATGAAACATGTGACAGTGATACCCATTGTCATTGGGGCATTTGGTATCATGTCCAAGAAGTTTACAAAATACATCAAGAAATTGTAGCTTCCTGCAATAACACTAGCGGAACTGCAAAAAACTTGCTACTCGGACAATGTACGTTTTAAGAAGATACTTGGTTGATACCTAGGAGGCTGGCATTATCCCGTATCAACCATCAGTTCCAGTCAATGATATTTGTGATACATTTTTAAATATTCAGTTGACTGAGTTTCATGTTTAATGAATAAAAGTTTATTATAATAATAATACCACCACCACCAACATTGGCACTGACAAAATCATCATCAATCAATGGCAAAAATTAGATTTACTTGGAACCATTTACATTCTGCAATATTAATATTAATAAATCTGCCTCTCTCAGGCCCTTGAAAAGGACTTGCTAGATGGGCAAAAATGCTAAACCAGTCTAAACATGTGGCTGCTTGACCAACCATAATAATTATTTCGCAAAACAGTGCTAGGCAAACATCCTTCACCAGCATAGGAATTTCGGTACTTTTGAAATCAGCTGTGGGGTTAATTTCTAATAAATGGAACCGGGAAGAATATTACTTCCATTGAAGTATTTTCTTTCAAAAAATCGGCTAAGGCAAGAAGCAGAGAAACAGGATTATGGAGTAGGCAAATAAAACATTAGTGGTTACTGGAAGTGCATCTGCTTTTGCTTTCACTTTATTCTGTGAAAGCATTTAAACACCACTTTCCAGCTAGAAAGTAGGCAATGAATAAAAGAAGAAAACTTCTGTCCTACAATCTATCAATGTAAGAAGACTTTACAGCAAGAGTGGGGGAAAGAGCAGGGAGGGAAAAGCAAGATAACCAGGAACCAATTCTTAAAGTTAATCCGCTTATCTAGTGATAAGTTACAATGGAAGCAAGCTGCTCTAATTCAAACACCAGGTTTGACGAGAATCAAACAAATAGTCTAGAGGTGACCTTCCTTGAAAGAGTTCTATTGAAGTTAGAAATGGCTGGTCTTGGACTCCCGGAAACCTGTCCTTCTTTCACTCTTTAACTGCAGTCATTGTTTAGAGGAAAAGCATATTCCACACCTATCAAACAGAGTAGTTCTCTGCTGCTTCTGCTTTCAAGGCATTTGCTTCCAAGGGCTTCTGAGAGGAAAACGGGTTCCATCTAGCTAGCCCAACAGATAAAAGCAGCAGAAAGAAGATGTGAGATGATCAAGTCTTAATCACCACCACACGGCACTCTCAGTACATTAGTGACCTAAAACTGACCTGAAACTCTTATTTAGATAAGATAGAAGCACTAGCTGATGACCCTGGATGATTTCAATAAGCTAAGAGGAATTGGACACACTTGGATGGAAAACTGGAGAAACAGTAGGCTGTTTTACAAAAAACATATAAAAAAGGTAGGGATCAATCACTTGTATGATTATGGAAAAAAGTGCCCACAAACGATCAATTTGCACTCAACTCAAAAGATATTTTACTTTTACAATACTTTAGTAAATAGCCACTAATTAAACATACTTTGCCAACATCTCTAGGATAATCTACAAGTAAGTAGTAGATAAAAGAGACGCTTGCCTCTACAACCTTCACTTAAACCATCTAAGATTGACAGAAGTAGCATTATAGAGTTTAGAGCAGGGGTAGTCAACCTTTTTATACCTACCGCCCACTTTTGNTTTTTGATGCAGAGGAAAGCATTTGCTAATTTGAATTAGATTATTATGTTTAAAATTTTGGAAGAATGGATTTTGGAAATAACTTTATTCAACAGGTTATATATATACTATCTTAATATCACAAGCAGCACAAATTACAGACAATGGTGAATTAACGTAAACCTATGAGATGCAAAAAAGAACAATGTGGTCATTTTCACCACTGGAATGTGATATAAGACAGGATGAGAGAATAATTGGGGTGAGAGTATTAAAAGGATATAAATTAAGGCCATTTGCAAACAATTTGGTTTTAATAGATGAAAATCCCTTGGGAAGATTAGATATATTAACGGAAAAGCTGAAGGAATTTTCTATTGATGGGAAAATTGAAATTATCATTGGAAGCATTTTGATGATAAAAATGAATAATCTAGAATGATTCTTTTATTTCATACTAGTTTTGACAAATGATGCACCTTTTACAGAAGGATAAATAGATTTATTTAGATTTGTATGGCAAGGCAAGAAATCAAAGGCTAAATACAATTTTTTTCCAGGATGCAAAAGTCAGAGAGCTAGGAGTTTAAATTGTATTTTGCAGTTTGTTGTTTGGTTTGCATGAAAGAATGAGTTCTTCTGAGAAATAAAAGAAAGAATTGGAAGAGCATAGCCAGAAGTTTAGTTGGCAAGGGTTTTTAATGGTATGATAAAGTTCATATGGATGTTAACAATCATCGTATGAGAAGTGCCAAATTGAGAGTATGAAGTAGCCCAGGAACTACTGAAAGATAATCTTTTTTGTCATTGGCACAGGAAGCATTCTATAGATGAGAAACAGCATAGAGCAAAACGATTAATATATCAAAACTTAGCAATATAAGAGGATGGAAAAATTAAAGCGGTCAACAGAACAATCATCTTCAGTAGATTTAAAAACCATAAAAAACCACATTTTTGATAGTTTTTATATGCATAATTAAAAGACAGGTTTAATATGGATAAAGAGACAATGGAATTGAAAAATACAAAATAGGGACTTATTTTTGCTGAAAGAAGAAATTAAATAATATTCTATGAGTTTGAAGAGTAATAAAGACATGGGTTAAGTGAGAGTCTGAAGGAACTTGTATAAAATCTAAGAGGAAGGAAGAACAATATGTTTGTAATTATCTGTTGAAAATTTCAGAAGTCGTATTTCTTAACTTTAACTTTTCTCTTTTCTGTTTTTTTGTACTTTGTTATTTCCTTCTTTTGATTTATATTTAATTCCACGAAAAACGGCTTAATAAATAGAAATTAAGAAAAGAAAAGAGAACAGAGATAAAAGAGCAAGGAAGTAATATTTCAAAGAGTAAACAAGGTCATTCTACTCCATAAATATGTGAGTTTTAGCAATTCATCCAAATAATTCCTTCCCTATAGAAGTTTGCCTTGCATACTAAATGAAAATGAAGTTTGTGCTGGTACCTTTAGGGGATAATCCCATAAACTCTTTTGGAGTATAAAATCCCATTCAATTCCTTGTAGCTGTTGTCCAATTAGACATACAGAGAATTGCAGTCATTTAATTATTGTTTGGGTTTATATTTGAAGAACTAATTTCTGAACCAATAACAACTAAACTGGTTAATAAATGCACAAAAGGGCCTTCTGTCCTTTTGTTTAACATCCAATCTGAGGAAGGACTTATCAAACTCAAAACTTGACATCTAACACTTTGGGGATTAATGATATTTTCTCATCGTTTGGAAATGGGATTGTATCATGATCAATCTATGTTTTGTATTTGGGAGGCAACACAATTCAATATTTGCTCTACAACACTTGAAGAATTAGCCACCTCATCAAATACCCTCTGTTAATCATTGACATATGTGTAAACAGAATATGAAATAGCAAACTAGTTTATCACTTTTGAAGAAAGGTGGGGGAAAAGGCCTCACTTGGAACAACCAATCCAAGTCCCGCTCCCTGGGTCTTTGTGTTCTGGCAGGAGTCTGCTTCAAACAGAAAAAACTGGTTTTGTAACAAGATCAAGTACATGCCTGCAATGCAGCAAAAATGAAGGTTTCTTCTTCGGTGCAGTCTATTTCTTCCAGCAGAATAGCCCAGCGGGCTTGCTCATATAGCTGGTGGATCCGTACTGCATCATACTGCCAAGAGAAGCAATATCAGGTTGCATTAGAAATAAGCAGACTTTGCCATGGGTCCAAGAGTTAAGCAGACTAACTACCTCCAGATATACAGTACAGTCCTTTGGAACATTTTGTACTCTGTTACAGCAAAGCCGAGGTGGCACAGTGGTTAAATGCAGCACTGCAGGCTACTTCAGCTGACTGCAGTTCTGCAGTTCGGCTGTTCAAATCTCACCGGCTCAAGGTTGACTCAGCCTTCCATCCTTCCGAGGTGGGTAAAATGAGGACCCGGATTGTTGTTGGGGGCAATATGCTGACTCTGTAAACCGCTTAGAGAGGGTTGAAAGCTCTATGAAGCGGTATATAAGTCTAACTGCTATTGCTAAAGAAGGACACACCACTGGAAGACCTGAAGGATGAGGTTGGGAACAGGCCATTCCCGGAGAAAATGTGTGTGGTTGCAAACTTGATGGCATTCAGTCGTGATGATGAAGAGGGGGCAACTTTAGTTAACTAGAGAGCTGCGCCACATTTTGCACTGTATGTCAAGAGCTGCACTACAAAAATGAGTGGTGCCAGGATCAGATTTTGGGGGAAGGTTTAATGGCTTTATAAGGAGAAATAGATATGCACTATTTTAGACAGCTGTAGGAGGGATTATACTGATATGTTCAAGGGTAGAACTAGATGCTACCCATATTAATGCCCAAGAAAAACCGATAAAGGGGAAATGATAATGTTGAAAAATAAAAAGTCTACCAGTATAGATCGAGTACTGAAGAAGTGTTAAAATCTACATATAGTTTGTTCAGGGAGTAGTTATGTAATTTGCTTAATGTCTGAAGAAAGTAGCAATGGCAGATGATTAGAAGAATGCCATTATTATACAAATAAAAAAGTAACAAGAATTAAGGTTAAAAACTAAAAGAGAATTCACTGTATTTTTATGCAGGGTATTTTGACCAGAGCTTTTCATTTAAGCAAAACATATGCTAAGATATATGCATGAATTTGGGCATGTTTTGCATAGATAAAGAATTGAAGGTTGGCTGTTAAATTTGGTAAGAGTTTGATGTATGCAATGGAAGTAAAATACATATGAGAGTAAATGCTTTCAAGATTGTCTAATATTGAGCAAGAAATTAAACAAGAATATATATGGCCACTTTTTTGTGTAATGGACTTTTATGACTAAATATATAATGGATATTTGTAATGATGTTAAGAGACATTTTGCTTGCTTGGGGACAGCTGTTGGGATAAATAAATCCTTATTTAAAAAAATGAAAATGGGTGTAAGAACATGCTTCTACCCACTTAAATGGAATATGGAAATGAGTGGTGGTCTGTCCAGAGAAACAAAAGCACGTTGAATACAGTAGGAATGGAGTATTTCAGGAATATTTAGTAGTACAAGGAATGATAGAATGAAGAATGAATGGGGGATGCGTAAATGTAGGCTGAATACAAAAACTGACAGTATGACAGTACAGTATAAAACAAATAAGTTCAGATGGTTTTGTTAAACAGAGACAATGAATTAGCTCAAAAGGAAGTATATAGAACAGCTGGCTGGAGAATTGGTGGGGGGGGGGTTTGAAGTCCACAAGTCTTAAAGTTGCCAAGTTTGAAGACCTCTGATATAGAAGAAGAATGAACTGGTTGAGGGGAAGAAAAAGACAAAGTTGCTTGATAACATTGATAACATTATGTAACAAAAGGCAATTTTTGAAGTGATAAGTGCACAAGGATAAAACAAGGAAAATTTGCAAGACAGGGAGAAATAAAAAAGTCTAGTGAACTGTGATGGTGCAAAACTAGAGTGTATCACTACTTCTTACTCTTTATCTGCACTCTGCATAATATTGCTTACCTTAAAAGGGAATAGAGAGATGCATGTACAGTGTGTTTCAAAAGCAGTATGTTTTATTATTATTTTTAAATATTGTGACCCACCTCAAGCCAGCTTGGAGTTGCTCAATCCCAAAATCAAAAAGATAAGTCAAACGAAAAAGAATATTCAACTAAAACTATTGTGCTATTTTGCTTATATTAAAAGAAAACTGATATAATTACTACTGTACTCTGATCGATAAGCTATGGTTTAGCAACATTCAGTTGTGAATACAAAATGAAATCCCTACAATTGCTTTTTAATTGTCATGTTGGGAATCTTAAAGAGCTTCTTACTTTTGCATTCAAATCAAAGAAATCATAGTATTTAAAACGGAGTAGAAGTTGATCGTCCTCCTGGATATCTTGTTCCATGAGTGATCGAGATGAATCTAACCATCTGAAATGAAAAGAACACCAAGCACTGAGAATAAATGCCACAGAGTTGTAACAAAGCACAAGATATTAGAAGTGTGTGTGTGTGTTAGAGAGAGTAATATAAAGTTTAGTAAGTATAGTCATAGTAAGGAAACTTGAAATTTATTTCTACACACCGTAACACCTATTATTATCATTGTTTATTACTAGCTGTTGCCCATGACAATGTTAGTCTCAACAAACTCCCTTTTTATCACCCTATAGTCCTGTGATGGCGAACCTATGGCACGTGTTCCACAGGTGACACTCAGTGCCCTTTCTGTGGGCATGTGAGCTGTCACCCCAGTTCAATTCTACTGAGCAAGTGCGCGTGCCTCCCACCGACTAGCTGGTCTTCAGGTCTCTGCTGCACATGGGAGGAGGTGGGGTATGCACCGGGGGGCACATGCACATGCATGAGAGTAGCGCATGCAGGGGGTGTGCACACATTGAATTTTGGGGGTTTGGGCGTGCACATACGCACTTGATCTGGAAAAGGTTAGCCATCACTGCTATAGTCCCTTAAATGTTAGCCTTAATAACACATTTAGCAAAAATAAAGATAGCTGTATAGTTTTTCAATTTTAGCAAATGAACATATTTAGAAATTATAAATTCTATGTATATCAGAGGAAAATATGTGTTCTTTGAAAAAATATGTTTGAGAAGAGAGAATACAGTTATGAACAATCAAAAGTGCAAAGAGAAGAGCCTTGTTTTATTCCTAACAGTATATGTCAAGGTGTTACTTTTCGTTCAACCCAAATCAGGTTCTTGTTTCTATGAAAATTCTAAATTATGTTACTTGGGAAGGATCTTTTTTGGCTTAGGTTTCGGATAAAAGTGCCAGCTATCCTAATTAACTCTTTGTGTATGGATACACAGCACATACAGTCAGCATTGCCCTTGGCTTGTCAAAATGGTCTAATACTAATATTCGAAGAGAAAGGTTCCTCACCCAGCATTCAGTTTGGCTTTGTCGACCAATGTTCGAGGCTGATACATCTTGGCAAGTGTCTCTGGTGCACAGTTAGGATGGCTAAAAGCGAGGGTGCTCCAGCTCTGTTGTGCCAATGGGCTGTCACTGAACCACGCAACAGTGGAAGGGACAGGGGAACCAGTAATGGGATCATAAGTCGGGGTCATTGTCTTGCTATATAAGCCAGGACTGGCTGAAATATTGAGAACAGAAAATAAAACCATCAGTTTATAAAAGTGGTTCCCAAACTTTTTCAGTCCACCGCCCCCTTGGTTCTTCAAACTGATCCTCAGTGCCCCCCACCCAGTGGTGGAATTTAATATTTTTTACTACTGGTTCTGTGGGCGTGGCTTGGTGGGCGTGGCTGGGGGTGTCATGTGACTGGGTGGTTTGTAACAGGAAAATTCAAAACTATAACAATTAATTGCACATTTATTCAAAATCCAATTTAAAACCCTTTTTAGTTAATGTTAATTCAACAAAATTGTTGAACATGATCCAGTGATACTAGGTTTTCAAAGTCTGATAGTCATTTATCAAGAACATTAGTAACTAGTAACTTAGCAAACTCAGTAAAATTTAGTAACTACTTCACTGTTCAGTAAATTCTTAATGTGATGGATGGGCTTGATGATGTGATACCAGTTTCCCAATGTCTGGTTTTAAGTCACTTAGCAGAGTGCAATGTTTCCCAGCCTTGGCAACTTGAAGATGTCTGGACTTCAACTCCCAGAATTCCCCAGCCAGGGAATACTCGCTGGAGAATTCTGGGAGTTGAAGTCCAGACATCTTCAAGTTGCCAAGGTTGAGAGACACTGCTCTAAAAGCATCAGGACTGTTTTCCTCTCCTCTCCTATTACGGTATCAGAGGAGCGTTTTCGGTGGCATTAACTCCTGGCTCTAGTTTCCAGTAATTTTGGGTGATGGTTTGTCTTAAAAGACACTTAAAAAGAGTAGCCAGTTTCCTACCAGTTTGCCCCTGGAGTTCATGCAAAACTTGCTTCATCGCCGCCCACGTCAAAATTCCCTTTGGCCGTTGCCCTGCTGCCCCCTTCCCACCCAAGGAACACCACCCACCACCCCCTTTTTTTGTGTCGCTGCAGGATTTTAGTTGCCACAAGCACATATGTGGATCCCCGATCCTGGGATCGTCCTTCGCACACCCACAGAAAAGAGGACTCCCTGCCTGTGGAATACGATACTGCCGCCCTTGGTGCACAGTCCACGGATTGGCGGAGCGTGTACCAACTGACTGGCTACCCCAAGCAATGCATGGTATGCAGAGGCCAAAAGCAACCATTCGACGGGACGGGGAGGACGGAGGACGGGAGTGGCCCATGTTTGTGGCGGGCTCAGGAAGCATGCAGCTATGGCACTCGGTCTGGAGAGGGGGGAGGAAAAAAGCCTGAGCGGCATGTGCCTAGCCGCCACGTGGGAGCAGCTCTGTGTTTTCCGATTTAGTTGTTTTGATTCCCTTCCCTCCTCTGCTCGGTTGTTTTTCCTCTCTCCCTCTCTCTCTCTTTTGCTGGGTGGTGGTTGAGGCCGCTGGTAGTCAGGATTGATTCTGCTGTTGCTTAAGTTGCCGCGGTGGACAGCAGTAGTAGCAGCGAGAAGCAGCAGTGGTAGTATCAAGTAGATCAGTGGTTTCCAAACTTGGCAACTTTAAGACTTGTGGACTTCAACTCCCAGAATTCTCCAGCCAGCTCTGCTCTGCTGGCTGGAGAATTCTGGGANGATACAGCCAGTTGTGCCTTAAAATGACTTCTACTGTACTGCTGTAAAATGGCTTCTACTGTGCAGCACAGTGGAGTTGCCATGATAATGGCTTCACAGTACTCCACAAGGGGGCTCCCTCTGGTAAGGGGGAAAATCCAACATTAGAAATTATGTTTGGTCTGGACATTTCCCCCCTATAAATAAATACCTGGGCAACACCGGATTATTGGCTAGTATATTATGAAAGTCTATGTGGCTGTCTCATTAAGAAGTATGTGTTTCTCTGTTTTAGCTGCTTTATCAGAGAAGATCACATCACAGGGGGCTAATAGAAACTACAGTGATGACAATCCCCACCCCCCAAAAAAGACAAAACATGCAAAACCTGGTATTTGAGCTTACTTCTCAATACAGGTAAAAGTATAGATATTGTGGAGCTGGTATAAGTGGTCCTCGACTTACGACCACAACTGAGTCCAAAATTTTGTCACTAAGTGAAACATCTGTTTTTTACGACTTTTCTTGCCACAGTTGTTAAGTGAATCACTGTTAAATTAGTAACACGGTTGTTAAGTGAATCTGGCTTTCCCATTGACTTTGTTTGTCAGAGGGTCCCAAAAGATGATCACATGATCCCAGATACATGTGAGACAGTTCCCAAGCATCTGGATTTTGATCACATGACCATGGCGATACTACAAGGGTTGTATGTGTGAAAAGTGGTCATAAATCACTTTTTTCAGTGCCGTGAACTGTTGGTAGGTCAAGAACTACCTGTATTGTAATATCGTGATGCACATTTTATCACCTGCCCCCTCTTCTATTTCCACAAAACACCGAATTGTAAAATATCTTGGTTATTCATTTTACGTCTTCAATAGTACAAAGACATACAAAGATTGTTTTCCTGAAATATTTCAAATAAGTCATTCATTTCTTTATGAAAACACAAATGCGATCGTTTTTCATGCAGTAGTATTTTAATGGATTTAATCATTGAGTTTCATTGGGATGATATTATTTTAATTTTGTGAACCACCCTGGGAGTGGTTCTTATATGAAGGATGGCTTATAGACATATTAAATCAATTTCCAATTCAACTGAAATGATCCTGATACGATACCATATTGAATTTTGAGATTTGGGGTATTGATTGTTTTCAAAATTCAGTGTATGAAAAACACAACGAAATATGCTAAAGTAGACAACATTGAACAATATATGGGTAGTTACCATCGCTCCTTTTCCTTACCTAAATAGTTTGAGGTTATCAGCAAGCTTTGGAATGTCTGTGATATCCTCCTATGGAGAACCAAAAATTATGCTAGTAACAAGGCATAGCTAGATACTTCAAAATGCATGTCAATGATTGCTCCACGTTATGGGTGCACAGTTGGTGTGTGTTACAGTTGCTAATTTGCTATTTGCTTCCCCCACACTTAAAGTCCAAGTCAGCAACACATTGCAGATAAATGTAAAAGTTTATTTCCAAAACAAACCCAAAAATCTAAATTTGGGAGATAGGAAAAAGCCAAAAGCTATGTTCCCCTGAAATGATACAATATTGAAAAAAAGTTTGTATCTCTTAAAATCTCAGGTGAATCAGAAAATAGGCACAAACTACCCTGTACTAAAAATACCTGATAAGCAGAATTAGAGAAGAGTGATAATATCATAATTAGGTCCCCTCCTCTTGGGTTTAAGAGATATTGTACAGGTAGTTCTCGACTTACGACCACAATCGAGCCCAAAATTTCTGTTTTTAAGTGAGACATTTGTTAAATGAGTTGTGCCCCATTTCACAACATTCCTTGCCACAGTTGTTAAGTGAATCATTGCAGTTGATAAGTTAGTAACTCAGTTGTTAAGTGAATCTGGCTTCCCCACTGACTTTGCTTATGAAAAGATCGCCAAAGATTTATCACATGACCTTGGGACACAGCAACGGTCATAAGTATGAACCAGTTGCCAAGCATCTGAATTTTGATCACATGATCATGGGGATGCTGCAAAGGTTGTAACTGTGAAAAACGGTCATAAGTCACATTTTTCAGTGTCTTGTTAACTTTGAATGGTCACTAAATGAACTGTTGAGGACCACCTGGTACATATATCCAGATAATGGTGAACCCATATTCTTTTTAACTCAATCAGGCATTGATAGTGGATATTGCAATTCATCAACTTCCAGAGGGCCTACCAGGGAAACAGTGGGGAAACAATTGGAAATATGCTCATTGATAAAGTGAGCCCAGCCTAATTTCCTACACCCCAAATCAGGGGTGGGCTGCTGGGGGTTCGGGGGAAACTCTAGTTAAGATTCTGTGCAGTTCAGAGAACTCCCAAATCCCACTCCTGGCTGCCCCCCCCTTCATGCCCTTCTCCTCCAGCAGTTCCCACGCGGCCCGTTTTGGATGTCAGTAAGTGCAGGGTGCGCAGGGAGGTTCGGGTAGGGCAAAAATGGCCCTATTTAAAGTTTGGGAAGGCTGGAAATGGGCTCATTTTTGACCTCCAGAGTGCCTCCGGAGCCTGGGGAGGCCATTTTCGCCCTCCCAGAGGCTTGAGGAACGCTTCCAGAGCTCGGAGAGGGCAAAAACACCTCCACTGCTGTGGTGCAGGAGGCCGACTAGGCCACACCCACCATGGCTACGCCAACCCAGCAACCAGGCAGAGAACCCCTTGCTAAAATTTTTGAAGCCCACCCTTGCCGCCTGAATGTTACCTTGACTCCGTGCCCAAAGGAAGGGAATGGCATACCAATAGGCTCTCTGATCTTCCGCCTTCTAGGGTTATTTCCAGATTGGAAAGCGCTGCTTCCACTTCGTCGGTTTCACTCTCAACTGCGAAGTCTTTGGATCCAGATGATAAGGTCATCTTGCTGATATGGTACTGCAGTCAAGGGAAAAGATACCCGGATGGTATCTGGTAAGCTTGTTGATTTCATACAGAGGAAACAAACTGAGAAGTTAACAGTAAAATCTTTACAATGAAATCTGTTTAGCCTTTCCATTCGATTAGTATATTCTGATTCATCACATGTATAAAAGGCAATGGAAGTAATTATGTTTTCATCAAATTGATCCTTCTTCTTTTTTTTTACAGTATTATTTACAGCATCTCAGTAATAGACTGTGAATCCTAATTTTACTCCAGGCTGCTGAATGACGTGTCTATCAAAATCAAATCATTCCTGACTGATTATACTCTCGGAAAGCTAAAAGCTATTCATACAAAAAGTTAAAACAGACCAAATAAGACAGCAATAGCACTTACCGCTTCACAGTGCTTTACAGTCCTCTCTAAATGGTTTACCCAGTCAGCCTATTGTGCTCAACAATGTGGGTCCTCACTTTACCAACCTCAGAAGGACGGAAGGCGGAGTTAACCTTGAGCTGGTGGGAATCAAACTGCTGGCAGTTGACAGTCAACAGAATTAGCCTGCAGTACTGCATTCTAACCATTGCGGCACCACCGCTCTAATGCCTTTGTTTTAATCCAGGCTGCATTTTCTATGTAGTATATGGTAGCTGCTAAGAGAAGCAGACAAAATCATCCTTACGAAAGCAGCTCTTTCAGCTTCCCCAAAAAGATGTTTTAGTTAAGGTTTGCTAAGGAAGACTTCTTGCACTGATTCTTCTAGTACTTTTACTAAGCACTGTGTTCCCCATGCATAAAAGAGAAAGGGGCAATCCATAGGTGGTATTCCGCAGGTTCTGATCAGTTCTGGAGAACCAGTAGCGGAAATTTTGAGTAGTTCAGAGAACCGGTAAATACCACCTCTGAGTAGCCGCGCCCCATCTATTCTCTGCCTTCCAAGCCCCAGCTGATCAGGAGGGAATTGGGATTTTGCAGTATCCTTCCGCTGCCACGCCCACCAAGCCACGCCCACAGAACCGGCAGTAAAAAGTTTTGCATCCCACCACTGGGGCAATCCATCTGAAACAGAAACAATATATATATTATATGGCCTCTTTTTCTCTTTTAAGAATCTGTGTCCAGAGGTGGGTTTCTGCCAGTTTGCCCCAGATCAGGTGAACCGGTAGTGGCCGTGGTGGGGGGCTCTGCCCACCCGCTTGGACGCTTCTGCGCATGCGCGCATATGTGCATGAGCAAACTGGTAGTAAAATAAATTGAAATCCCCCATTGCTGTGGACCCTATATCCCACTTATAGGTCTGGAGAACCCAGAGATTTTGTAGCCAAATGTTTGTATTATTTTTCCAGGGTTCTCATTCTAGTTTTGAGTTTCCTTAATCTCATCCATTCTTTCACCTTCACTTTTTCTTCCTCCTCTCTCTCTCCACCTTCATTTCTACAGCTGTTTATTCATGCAAAGGATGGATAGACAGAACAGGTTTATCTGAAGGAAGTTTATCGCTTTCTCATTGACTACAAGAGGACGCGTTAAGTTCTGGGCGAAGAATGGAGGTGAGGCAGCGGTGAAATCCTCCAAAGTGTGCTACCAATTTGGTGAGCCTGCTACTGAGTGCGCGCTTTGCACACAGGTGTGCCTGAGGCGCGCCTGCGCAGCGCTAAAAAAGGAACATTTTGAAGCCTTCCGAGTCTGCAAAGGCAAGTAGAACAGCCGGGGGGGGGGGATCCGCTGTGACACGTGATTTAGATTAGCTAGAAAGCAGGAAATCTGACGATTCTAGCTAATATAAATTGCATGTCACAGCTGATCGTCGGAAATACCAGTAGCATTATTTTTACTACTGGTTCGGGTGAATCGGTCCGAACTGGTAGCATTTCACCCCTGAGGTGAGACCAGAGTAACTTCTAACAGCTCTTTATTCAATACTGCCTGTCAGACAACTTAAAAAATCCCTGGCTGACCTGGATCCTTTTACAGGAACTAATCTGGCAACAGCCAATCAGGAGAGAGTATTTTCCCGCTCCAGCAGATAACCAGGATAAAATATTCAATTACACTTATCTACAATACATAGCAGGAAGATAGATCTTTAAAGGAAAAAAACTTACTGGTAATCCCTTTTCCAGCTAAGAATTTGTCATTTTTTCCGAAGGTTGTATCAGGGTGCTACTTTACCAAAAAAATCATCAACCGATTTCTTTACTGAACAGTAATTCTAACTTATTTATTATGGCATCATTGAACTAGTAAAGTTGCAGGACTTTAGACATGAAAATCAATGTGGTTTTCTGTCTCAAAATCAGCTAAGGGAGAGAAACAGTTATAATATACTAGACCGATGAAAAACAAGCCGTGTTGATACTTTTTGATGCAGAGGAAAGCATTTGCTAATTTGAATTAGATTATTATGTTTAAAATTTTGGAAGAATGGATTTTGGAAATAACTTTATTCAACAGGTTATATATATACNACCATGAAAGCTGGAACGCCCACTAGTGGGCGGTAGGGACCAGGTTGACTACCACTGGTTTAGAGATTGACTGTCTCAAGATCCAGGAACTTGAAGGCCAATCTATCTGGAAGGTGTACCAAGTTGGGGAGAACTATTTTAGGGTAAAAATGGGCATGATATGAAGCTCTAGTTCATCATATTTCTTTTCCACTGTAATATGAGCTCAGATTCCTCCAGACTTCAAATAGCAAAAGGGCATAGCAGACTTTTGGGGAGTTGAGAGAGGTTTTAAATGGGAAGGCAACTGCAGCTGCTTTTTTCATGTTAACTATACCATTTATGCTTTAAGAAAGTTTAATGGTTGTCATCTGACTTATAGGTAGTAAGCGATTATGAGATCTCTTGAGAGCTGGCAAGGTGGAACTTCATTGTAAAAACCTATTATGCAGTGTATCTTCTCATTCTAACCAGTCAAACATCTACTCAGTTATCCACCTGCCTCTCTGGTGTGGCTGGGAACTTCCAGATCTGTTGCCTCATAATTCCTATTCTTTCTGTCTAGAAAAAAAAAAGGCAATTCTATTTTGCTAAATCTCCATCAAACAATGTCCTTGGCTTATGAAAAAGCCAGAAGAATTCATTTAATCATGTCTCCTACAGTGTGCTTGTGAAAATTCAGCAATATTCCATTCTTCTAGTCAATTCACAAAGAAACATCATCAAAATTATTCCTCCCTGTTCTATACAGATCCCTAATTTTACCTACCTCACCATTTTCATCTAAAAGAGTGATAGCTGAATGACTCTTAGCAGACCATCTCCTGTTAAGGAATAATACAATTCACGCAGGTGTTATTTGCAGTTATAAAAGCATGTGTGAAGAAAAAACATGATATATCTATGAGAGAGTCTGCTTGATTTTCTCTGAGTTAACAATGAATCAGTGACTAGTACCTGTGCTATGAGAGACTTCTAGTGCATTTATTTTCTACAATATTTTATCTTGTCACTACAGTCATATACCCATAATATCTACTCATCTACATACACCTACAACCCTTTTCTGCAGGCTGATACAAGTCTTATTTGTGGTGAGAAATATTTTAGAGATAAATTCCTGGTTGAGCAATACCTGAGGCTTTAATCATTGTAATTGTGGTGTGTTTACAGAAATGTGCTAGGAATTTATATTGCGAATTGCACAGCTGTTAACATGGCTTGAGGTGATACATTCCATCTGCAGAAAATGTAGCATATCACTGGGGAGGTGAACAATAATAAACCAAAGTTATGCTTGTGCACAACTGCATAGCTTTAAAACAGCAATACTCAACAAACTATTGAGTTCAAGGACCTCCAAACCTGGAAATTAGTATGAAAGTAGTGCGATAAGTCCACTGCATTTATTTTAGAACTTTCCTGCTCTTTAGCTGTAAATAAAAATAGATCTATGCATAGAACCGTAACTTATTTTTATCTGTTTTATTTATCAAGATGAACCAACAGAGGTCATGACTTTAAAAAATTCACCTAATATCAAATACACAAGGAAGATTGTAGAATTTTGTTTTGCTGGAGATGTTTGATGCTGATGGTCTATCTGGTATATTGCAATTGCAGATTTTACTTATTTATTACATTTGTATGCTGCCTTTCTCATAAAGGGGTGACTCTAGGAGGCTTACAACTGGGCGAAAACAAAATGAAATATTAAAATATCAAAAAAATAAATATTAACACAAATATGATTAAAGATAGGAAGAAAGTGTGGAGATGGAGTCTTGTCTCAGTCCAGGATTCCTTGCTTGGCTAGGTTTAGACTAGATCAGAGTTCTCAGGGTCAGTATTGGCCCTTAAAGGTCCATTTTTGCTCTTGCTGCTATTGTTGTTGTTTTTATTATTATTATTAGTTTAAGTAGCATTTTAATTCATTTTTAAGGTGTCTTGGGAGGGATTGGTGAATAATCTGAAACTTCATGATGGGGTTGATGAGGTGAAGAGTTTGGGGATCCCTAACTAGATGATCTATAACGGGTGTGAAACTCGTGGCCCATGGGCCGGATGCGTCACATGCTGGCCACGCCCACCCCCATTTTAGCGAAAGGGAAAAAAGCAGCGATATGTCACATAACGGCGTGATGCCGTGAGTTTGACCCCACTGATCTATAATGTACTTTCTGTCCCTTTCATTCTAAGTTTAGAATGACACTTGAGAGCACAAACAAAGTGCACAAACAAAATAAATGCTGTTGTTACAGGAACTGAAGACTACAAACAGACTATCTGATGTCCCATTAGAAATCAGCAGCCTGACCTTGTGAAATTATCTATCTTCAGGAGTTTTAAACACATTTTGGGGTTTTTTAAGGTTTCCGCTGAACATGGACAGGGAGTTGTGGCTGTTTTGATGCTTTGCCATTGAATAATACCATGTGATTTGGGGAACTTTGAAGCACGCAGTATAAAGCCTCAGGTAATCTAGATGTCTAGATAGATGTTTTCCTGATCAAAGATCTTGTATTACTTCCCCTCCTGAATGATGATTCCTCTAACCGATAAAATTCTCATACATAGTAGGAATGGCTCTTTGCACTGCAAGTCCTATCCTGCCTCCCCTTCATCCTGAGTTATGTGTAGACACATCTTGTTCTGCTTTTTTAAAAACATGTAATTGATGTTCCTCTTGAGTGGGTGAAAACAATAAGCAGTAATGGGCAGCTCTGCAGAAATTCCTCAGAATAAAGTGAGTGATTTGCTTTGGGTAAAATCAGCTCCAAATACTTTTTTTCATTGGTCATTACACTTGTAGGAACAAACTTAATTGGGCATTGGTCTTATTGAGCCAAGATCCCATTTTCTTTATATTTAAGAGAATGCAGAATTCAATGGTATTTTTCTCAAATCTGCTGAACTGAAACCCTTTAAAAAAAAAATCACAATAAAACAATTACAATAATTCCCCAGGCTGTCAATGAACCTGAAGGACTGAGCTAAACTGCCTTTAAAATCCAAACTACTGCCTTGCACAGCCTACACTGTGCTCTCGTTTTCCCTTTACTTTCAATAGATTTTAGAATTATAAATCAAACTATGCAAACTTTAGAATCTGGAACTGGTAATACACAGCCAATTGTGCTTTCCTTAACCTAGTTAACTTTCAGATGTGAGGATCTGGTTACACAGTCTTAGAATTCCAGGAGAGAATTCCATAGATAAAAGGCTTAAAAGAAGCAGAGAGGCTGTGTCCAAATGCTCATGGTATGGAAATGCCCTAGCCACCAACTACTATAATTTGCATGGCAAGGTACCGTACTTGCAGTGAAATGTTAAAAATTAAAGAGCCCTCTTCTCTTTTGCATCCAGCCACTCAGTGTGGGAAGATGCCAGTGTTGAAGCAAAATTCAATCACAGCTTGTTTGGCTTGTATAGGTAGGAGTAGATGGGAACCTTGATCTTCACATCAAGCAGGCAATAACTTATATTTTGGACCTGCTACAAAAACGAAGTAATGGAAAAAGAAATGTTCCAAATAAGCGACTCAGTGTTATATGAGAAAACGTAGATTGCGATTATTGAACAAAATCTATTCTCTCATAAACTAGAAGGCTGATGTTCCAAAGAGAGAGAAGTGCTATGTCTTCATATCTCATTGGGGCTGCTATTCTGTAGGCTGCCTCTGAAAGGGATGTGATTGATAAGCTTGGAATGGATGAACATGATGGATGGTGTTAGTCATCACTCTGAATATGAAGAAATTAATTTTCGATTAACTTAAAGAATTTCCCTCCCAGTGTCTTCAAATCAGTGTCGACTCCTGGCAATTACCTGGACAAGTTTCTGAATTTTTTTTTGGCAAGGTTTTTCAGAAATGGTTTGCCATTGTCTCCTTCTTAGGACTGAGAGAGAAAGAGATTGGCCCAAGGTCATCCAGCTAGCTTCATGCCCAAGGTGGAAGTAGAATTTACAGTCTCCCAGTTTCTAGCCTTGTGCCTTAACCATTACAACAGCCCTCTTAACCATTACAACAAACTGGCTCTCATACTTATGGAAGTACTAGGGAATAATGATGAAAGTAACAAAGAAACCGACTATCCTTATTACTAATATTCTTATTTGTTCATTGAAAAATTCACCTGTATTAAATGGACAGCGTTCATCAAATCACCCTGTTACGCATGTTACTGTTGGAAACAGAGCTCCACGAGAATTCAGACATAAAGTGGAAGATTCCCAAGACAGACATATGGACATCCCTTACAACATCTGCTGGAAGCACACCAGGGCAGAACATGTGAACGCCACTTACCAAGGCTCTTGCAGATGTCCCCAACAACCCTGAATACCACAGAAGAGAAGCTAACATTCAGTCTCACAATCTTCATGCTTGGTAAACAAAGGCGCAGATTTTTGTGCTGAGGGGTGAACAAGAGTATGGCATCAGCTTGCACTCCATATTTATCTAGAGTCCAATGAGTTTTCAGGAGCCAGCATTTCTTCTGCTCCCACCAAAGGGCATAGTCGGACCAATCTTGGGATATCCCTAAAAAGAAAAAAGAAAACAATGCAAAGCAGGAACTTTGAAAAGGATACCACAAATGCCACCAAGCTGAGGACCTGGTTCAGAGGTGGGTTCCTACCAGTTCGCACCTATTCAGTAGAACCGGTTCGTCAAATCTACCGAACCGGTTAGAAGATGTTCCACCAGTGGACCTGGAAAGCAGGCCACACCTACAGAAGAGGTTCCACAATTTTTTTGAAACCCACCACTGGTCCTTGGATATGATTATTCTACACTATCATGCTCATATTTATAAAACTCAGTGCCTCTGTGAAAGTTAAGGATGACTACTGCGTTTGTGATGCAATCAGAACATTGCGTGTGTTGAAGTTGTTTTAACGCAAACCAAAGATGCCTTTTAAAAAACAAGTTTACATCATATTCTTATGCATGCCAGTGCTGTGTGTGAGGTAATTTAAGGTGGTTTTGACAAGTGTCGTCGGCATCTTCATATCCGGTCACATGGGCGGCAAGCCACTCCCATCCGGTCACATGGGCAGCAAGCCACTCCCACAAAGGAGGCCACACCCACAGAGTAGGTTCAAACAAGTTTTGAAACCTACCACTGACGTGGTTATACCTGACATGTATCCCATTAGAACCATTTGTAAGCTATCTAGCCTTAAAAAAGTCAGAGAAAGCAAATGGCTCATAAGACAGAACTTATTTTCTGTATCCAGTGTTCCCTGGGCAAGTCACTTTCTCTCAGCTCAACTTACCTCATGGGTGGTTATTGGGAAAAGTGGGTGAAGAACAAACTTAGGCCTACCTTGGAGTTCTAAATCAAACCTAATAAATATTAGAGCCATATCTATAATTTACTGACTTCATCTGATGGATTAAGTGACTTTGGGGTACCTCTTGAGCTTAAGTAGTACAGTGGTGATGGGTATAGTTCAAAGACAGGAAGATTGGGGGTTAGGGACAGAGCATTCTTCAGAAAATGTGGTTGTTAAGAGTCAACACTGACCTGGTGACACATAATCATCCTGAGCTTAACATTTGCCATTTCTTTCTTGTGTTTTATTATTTTATAACATATTCCAAATAAACAGAAACAATATAAAATATGCAAACAATAATTTCTATTCTAGCCTTTCATTCTACCTACTGATGGCCTTAATTCAATGCCTGCTATATATAAATACTAAAATCTGACTTAATATGTGATACTGGCCTTGTAAATCAGTCCCTGCTTGTTATGACCTCTCCACCACTCCCACATATGCTGTGTGGGTTGTTCCCACCAGATGTTTCTGGTATGGTGGCAGACATAACAGTTTGAAACAAGTGTGCAGCAAATGGGCAGCTGTGTAAGTGATCTGTCATGCAGAAACCTGCACAGCTTTAAGATTTTCTTAGAAAGCTTCTTCACTAGAAGCCCAGTGTCAGTAGCTCATGATGTGCTCCTAGTATCTCCCTTCCCTTCTGAGGGAGGTGAGTGGTTCAAAAATGTGAAAAATAAATAAATAAATACTGAATGGAAAAGCAGAACTTTTGCTATTTGCTATTTGCTATTAGGGACATTGGTTCACACACCCAAAAATATGTATATTATTTTGGAGGCTCTAATTCACTTGTATATACAATATAGAATGAGTTGCTTATACACACACAGAAACATAGACACACACAGACACACACATACTCAGGCAACCTGAAGCAACCCTAAAATGAATAAAGTATATAAAACGTTATTCGTTTTGGGGTTGCTTCAGGTTGCCTTAATTCTTTTGTCCTTTAAAAACACTATACTCACCAATTTTTTCCACAAGTCTGAGCATCAACCCTCCGACATGAAGCTCCCCCGATACTTGAACAGGAGTCTCTTTTTGTTCTTCTCCATTATGATGATCGACTCTGATTTTGAGCTCCCAGGAATTGGAACCATATTCATTTAAAGAAATCATAGTCCTGTTGGAGAATTCCAACATTTGTTTAAAATATTAAAAAGAAGGAATATATATATATATATATATATATATATATATATATATATATATATATANGCCACTCCCATCCGGTCACATGGGTGGCAAGCCACTCCCACAAAGGAGGCCACACCCACAGAGTAGGTTCGAATAATTTTTGAAACCCACCACTGACACACATATATGGAATATGTACTGCTCAATTGACCTTTTATGTGCCTCACCAAAACACAAGGAAACATCTGTCAATTGAAACAACATGTCCTTTGCTATTGCCAGTAACTCTTAATATTTCCCCTGGTCAAGGTATCATTGGAGTGCATGCATTCTGATTCAGAGACCATCATAGTTACAAACACACCAAGAACATTCCATTCCCATCTTCTTTAATACTGTGCTCTCTGCTATTTGGTAGGAGATAAAGTTGCAGCTTTTCTCTGAAGAACTTAAGCTGCACTTGAAAATCTAGAACAAAAGCCAAAAATCTCAAACTGACCATCACAGATATTAAAAAAGGGCAGATAAAAGATGAAACCTTCCTCCACACCCATCCCTTGACACCTTTTATTTTTGGCATATGCATTTCTGCCTTTCATTAGCTTCCATGCTGAAAGTGGAACAAAATGGAGATAATAAAAAGGTAAAAAGGTAAATTCAAGCAGCAATTTGAGAAGAGTTCATTTAGTTTTTTTCTTAGAGATGGTTCCAAAAGCATGTAGATCAGTCAAGCTCTGTAATGGCCAATAGATGCGGGCAAATTCAAATAATTTTGTAACAGATCAAAAGAGTTTGAAAAGAGATAATTATTAAGCAGAAAAGTACAAGTAATGGCCTTACCAGATCGCTTCTTTCCAATTGGTTCACTGCGGAGGAAAAAAAAATTAAATCAGTAAGATAATGAAATAACTCTGTCAATCTGAATGAAAGTGAATTTATTCCAAGAGCCAGGAAATAAAAATTCAGACCTACAATGTAGTCCAGTCACTGACTGTTTGAATTACAGTATACAGTTCTGCACATCAGTTGCCAATAGGATGCTTAAAGATTTTTCATTTTTTCTAAGAGATTCTTTTGATTTTCTTCTGAAACATTCTGACACAAGAATGCACACAAATCAGCTATCCCTTTCCTTTTGCTGCTCCCTAAACACCTTCTATTGCTTTTCTACAAAAGTCCAAATAAGAGGGGAAAAAATAAGGGATGTATATTTTTTGGAGAGCTGTAGAGTGATATACGGAGAATATTTTCCTGGCAACATGAATTTTATATGAATTTTAGAGAAATGGCTGATATATGTGTTGACCGCAGACCAAAAAGGATTGTGAAGATAGCCCACATCAAAAATTTATTGTCATATGGCTGTGGTAGCTTGGTAATTACTGGTCATCACTTCCAGAAATATTTAGAACCTGGGAGTCTCAAAGTTGAGTGTGGAAAATATTGTCTAACAAGTCATATTTTCATTTGAGGACAGATCAGTCTATCAGAGATCATACTAATTTATATATTGTCTATCCACTGTTTGTGAAAACCAACCTGACAAAAAATGAATATACCAACCAGACCAAATATGCTTCATATATTCTCAACTTCCCTGCTTTCCAAGCCACTAAATACCATTTTGTTGGTGTTTTATTTCTACAACATTCTAATTGCAACGTTTTGCATGCAGATGTCTCTGATTCACTTTACTTTCCAAAGGAATTAATACTGTGACATAGTGACACCAGCTCCTTTGCAGATCTGCACTCAGTAGACATACAGTATAAACAAATAAACCTAGGAACTGAAGGTAGAATGTTTTTCTTTCCATTTCACATAAACCACAGATTTCCTGTTCCCATAAAAGATTCCCTAAGGTTCTATTGGTCCACCAGCATTAATATCTTAAACAATATTCATCTCCTGTAACAGTTGCCCAAATGGAATGTATAGAGGTGATTATTTATAGCTGGACCAATAAAAGTGTGTCTAATCTAAGGCTTTGCTTTTTAATCTAAACATAAAACTTTTTCAAACAAATGTTCTAAAATAACATCCAGCTCTACATAATGCATTTATACCAATACTGTTCACATAGTATATTTTACTTTATAGCTGCTAGGAATGTTTTTTTTTTTAATTCTGGCAACCGCTTCCTCCGGATGTTGAAAATGGATGCTGTATGCTGACTTTGCATAATTATATATGCATACCTATATTTAAAACTGCAGGAGATGAGCCAGTTAAGATGTTAACAGCTGTCTGTCAACAAACAAGGAACAAGACTGTGGCATGGAGACTGGATAAAACAGATGCTTATACAGTATTGAATATAAAAGAGACAAGCAAGAGAATTATGCAAATTACTGAGCCATTGCACTAATTTCTTACCCAAGCAAAGCTCTTCTGTAGATCTTAGAAAGAAGAGCACAGCCATCACTAGGCAGAAAAGTGCCAAATAATACAAGGGTTTCAGAGTGGGGCTCAAGCCAATGTAGGATGGACAATGGTAAGGTTAAGAAAACAAAAAAAAAAAAGGATATTTACTGGTGCTTTATTGACTACTACGTGGCCTTTAGTTAGAGTTTTCAGTTAATTGGGGGAAAGGGAGACATGTTAGGGATGATGGATTAGGAAGGAATGTGTTTTTCTGAGTGTAGCCAATTTGCTTTCAACAAAGTTTATTTGGTTGTGCTTTATGGTGGAAATACACAATTTGGCTGTTGGACCTTAAAGACCCTCTTTGCTTTTGTATTGGACCAAAATGATTCATCTGACAGAGCCTAGAGGTGAGGAAAACACAACACACAAAACTAGTGAAAAAGAGAGGGAAACACCTTAACATTTAAAAAAAAAAATCCTAAACCCAGTTTTGTTTCATCCCAGGTTATCATGGTCCAGATCAGGGGTGGGTTCCTGCCAGTTCTAACCTCTTCTATAGAAGAGGTTCCACAAATCTACAGTGCCATTTAGAACCGGTTCCAGCTCCCTCTCACATCATCAAGATGAAGAGCGAGAGGAGGAATTCTGGGAGTTGAAGTCCACAAGTCTTAAAGCTGCCAAGTTTAACACCCCTGGGTTTTTTTTTCTAAAGTGTTAGGGGTGCAAGGGTCTTGTAACTTGGCAGCTTTAAGACTTGCATGCTTCAAATGCCATAGTTTCTGAGCCAACATTTTGGGTGCTAAGCAAGAGCGTTGTTAAGTGAGTTTCACCACATTTTACAAGTTGGCCACTTCCACCTGGTCACATGACTGCCAAGCCACTCCCACTCGGTCACATGGCTGGCAAGCCACTCCCACCCAGTCACATGGCCAACAAGCCACTCCCACAAATAGCAATAGCAATAGCAGTAGACTTATATACCGCTTCATAGGCCTTTCAGGCCTCTCTAAGCGGTTTACAGAGAGTCAGCATATTGCCCCCAACAATCTGGGTCCTCATTTTACCCACCTCGGAAGGATGGAAGGCTGAGTCAACCCTGAGCCGGTGAGATTTGAACCACTGACCTGCTGATCTAGCAGTAGCCTGCAGTGCTGCATTTAACCACTGCGCCACCTTGGCAGGCCACACCTATAGAAGTTCTAAAAAAATTTGAAACACACCACTGGTCCAGATCCCAAATATAGAAACAAGGAGGATCATAAGAGTGTTATTGATTATTTTTGTTTCTTTGAATCAGTTTTGACTCTGGACGATTGCCTGGACATGTTTTTTTGGCAAGGTTTTTGGAAGTACTTTATCATTTGCTACTCCCTAAAGCTCAGAAAGATTCCCTAGCTGGTTTTGTGCCTAAGGCAGGACTAGAACTCATGGTCTCCTACATCTAGTCTGATGCCTTAACCATTACACCAAAAAGATTCTCCAGGACAGCAGTGGTCCCCAACCCTTCCAGCTTTGTAGAGTGGCAGTGGCAGCAGTGGGCAGTGGCGGCAGGGAGAGGGGATGGTTTTTTGTGCACAACCTAATCCCACATAAGCACAAATGGAGGTTTGAACACTTGCCCAACCCTGTGCAGTCCGGTTCCCAATGGGCTGAAGACCAGGGGTTGGGGACTCCTGCATAAGAGCTTTTGGTTTAATATATCTGTTGCCTTTTGATCTAGCTTATTAAACATATTAAACGTAAAATGTCTTTCTCCACTACATTTACAAGTAGGTAAAGGGAGGCAGGTTGTTTGTTTACTTGTTTTTGTTTCTCAGACTTTCAACAAGATACAAGGCAACAGGTAAAACATTAGCAAACTTTACAGAGCAGCTTCCTCTCTCCATCCAGTGCCCCCAGCAACTAAAGGAAGCCATGTGTTATATGAGCGCTGAAAGATAATGGAGAAAGGCTAAAATCAGAAGAAACACCCCCAATGCACTACAAGGATTTGGGTGTTTTAAGAACTATCTAAAGTGTTTTGTTTCACTTTTGTCTGAAAGGGGATGTAGTATACTAGTTAATGCTTTGTTCTGTTTGGTTTTCATAAGAAAATAACAATAGTAGGAAGGTTTTGTCAAAATTGGAAAAACCTTGAAACAAAACCAACATCTCAGTAGGCTACAAACACGCACAGAGAGAGAGGGAGGGAGGGAGAGAGAGAGGGAGAGAGAGAGAGAGAGAGAATTTGGTCATAACAAAGTGAAGCTCAAAACAAAAACAGTTGCTCTGTTGCTTCATTATTCTGGCCAAGCTTGGCTAATGTAACAGGAAACTATCAAACTCATATTGAAAATCCTGGTATCAGCGTTGGGCTTCTAAGAACCTTAGAATGTTTAGAGAACATTTCTCAAGGGGAGAAAAGTGATTCTTTTGTGGCAAAGATGGGATCAGTATCGGTCCTGAACTTGGAACATACAACCTACAAGAGTTACATCAGGCAAACCTTCTCTTATTAAGCCACTTTGTTTTCTGATACAATGTTAAGAATCAGAAAAAAATATGAAATGCAGGAATAGAACAGACAACTCACTTGAGTCTCTTTTTAAGAATATTTCCTCTACATTCATCTGATTTTCTGGATATGCTCGGAGCCACCAAACAACTAAAGAAGTGGGTCGGTTGCTGCATTTATCAGTCCTGCCTGTAACTAAGCTTGTCTCTCCAACTTATCCCCATTGATAGGAAAAAACTGTCTTCAAATCTAGATCCATTTGTAGCCCTTGTGTTCTATTGAAGTATAGCCGCAGATCTGAAGAATCCTGAAGTTTTCCGAAGACAACTACAGATAAGCAAGGAGGAAGCATGTTTGGCAGATTCAGGATATTGCTGGAGGTAAGGGAGACTAGATGATGAGGAGGAGATCAGGTCCTTTCAGATTTGTAGTGTGAGCAGAAGGTCTGTCCCTAGAACCTGAAGAAAAATGTTTGCTCATTTCGTCTTGCGGAACATTTTTATTGTAAACCGAGAGGCATAGAGAATGAATCACTGATACTCCAACCAATTGGTTTTCACAGCCACAGAATGACTGCTGAAAAAATTGGTAAGACTTTCTTGTGCATTTGAGCAAATCCCAAAGTCAAAAGGTCTTCCTGGATAGATTTCTCCTTTAAGATCTTTCCCAAGAAATAAGGAGTACAAGATTTACCAGAAGACAAAGGAGCAAGGCAATGAAAACAAAGATAATGTGGATGGTTTCTTTTGTTCTTGATAGAAGACATTTACAAACCTATGGATAAATCTAGGCTTGAGATGGCTTTTCCTTTCAGGGTCATGCTCTAAATAAGTAATCCAAGTTTAAATAAATGAATGTTGCAACCCCCCTCCTTCACACACTTTGCACTACTTTTGGATCAATTCTGCCCCTGGCCTTCTTGTATAGCTGGTTTTGCGGACTAAGCCAAGTGTTCTTCTGACAGTTTATCTAAAACAGAATAGAGTTGGATCTCATCCTATCTTC